AGTGAAGGGAACTAACAAGATAAACAAAGGACAGAGTGTAGTGAGAAAACAGTAGAGAGATCCATTATCTCCACTAAATATCATCTACCATAGTATAGGATCTTATCATCTCTTGCTTACATTATTTCAATAGCTTCCCAATTGACCTTCCTAGTTCTAGTCTTTTTCTACTTCCATCCATCCTTTATAAAAGCTGCCCAACTTGTATTCAAACACACACACACACACACACACACACACACACACACACACACACCCCTCTAATCACATCAGTGCCCCCAGCCCTTCCAAGAATTTTCAGTGGCAACTAGAAATATAAAATATAGGTCTCCTATGTAGATTGACATTTAAAACATACACTCCTTTGACAGTCTGGCTGCAGCCATTTTTATTTCATAAAACTTACCATTACATACTCTGCATTTCAGTCAAATTGGCCTGTTAGCTGTTCTCTATACAAAATATCCTTCAACTCCCATGACTTCGTATAGGGTGTGTAGGTATCAACATTGCCTATGTAGGTTCTGTGTACACCCTCATAGGTTTCTCTAAATATGGCTCACAGGGAGGCAGGAATAGATATCTCTAGAATCTTGGTGAATTTTCTCAAAGAGAGACTTTGATTCCTTCCTGGAGGGAAGCAGAAGATTAGGATCATGAGACTGGTCTATTCTGGTTTCTTCAAACAGTAGGTACTGTACTAGAACTATGTCTATGTATTCCCCTAATAATTATAGTCTTGTCGTTAGTGGACGTGATTATTTTTTAGGTTCAAGCCACTTTCCTGGTTGCTGTATCTCAGTGGGGAGGGAATACTACAAGCTATAACTAAAGGCTTGGCTCCCTTCCCATCAAACGCTAGTGACACAAAGACTGCCACAAATACTGAGTAGTAGATAAACCCGCTTTTTCAAGCTATTTTTTAAAAATCAGAGAAGTTATACAGATTATAATACACAGAAAGAATAAACTCTTGAAGCAGGAGCAAGATATCTCATCTCAGCTGAGAAAGAGTCTCTCATCTCACACAAGGAGAAATTACCCAGATTCTCTAATGTGGTGAGCTAGAAGTCAGGAATATATCAAGGAAACAGCAACTCTCCCGCTCCTTCTCAAAGTCTTTCTTTCTATTCAGGAGCCTTTTTCTGAAGAGAATCTGGAATTGCATTGTGGTGTCTCAAAGCTGAAAGCCAGGACATCCCTATTCTCCCAACCTCTCACAACTTTGACCCTTACGAAGTCATGTAGCATCATGGCAGTATGTTCTATACCAATGATAAGAGTGTTTGTGTTTTTTTTTATTTTATTTTTAATTTATGGAATAAAACAAGCATTTTCACAACATAGTACAATCAAAAAGACAATTAAACATGAAACTCCAAATCTACTATGCGCAACTTGCTATTCCTTTCTTTACTTCTCTCTCTAAATTTATATAACTGTGTCTACATATGTACATGCATACAAAAATATACATATGCCACAAAATAGAAAAACATGGTAGCAAGGAATTCAGGGTGCAAGATATTGTATAGTTTGAACTGGCTAACGACAAGGTCAGTACTGTGATGGGGGAAAATTAAAACCAGAATAAGGTGATGAGAGAGCTAGACAACCTGGGACAGAAAGAAGAGTAAAGGAGGAGGGAGAGAAGTATATTCCAATCTGATATTGATTGGTCATGATATAAGCACATCAATAACAAGGGATTCATAGCTCTTTAGTAGGACCAGAAATCCTTGGCAGGTTTTATCCACACCAAAAAGGAAGGTATCAGTAAGTCAGTGTCCTTGAACACCTTGTCAGGGAGACAATCATAGGAGAAACTCTGGACTTAGGTTCAGTCTTTATATTCTCAGTAATTGTCTATGTGACTCTGATCAAGTCACTTAATCCTTTTTTCTTAGTTATACTTCTTCAGCTTTGGACAGTAATATCTGCTCTGTTCACCTTCTTTGGATGCTGGGAGGACAAAATGAACTAGTGATAATAATAGTTCACATTTGTATAGTGCTTTCAGGCTTACAGAATACTTTTTCCTCAATGATTTTATGAGGCAGGCAGTGCAAGAATTATCATCACCATTTTATCATGAAGAATATTGAGGCTTGAGAGTTGAAATGATTTATTCACACAAGTCACTATAGGGATATAGGAGTATGAAAGGGGAGTGGAGTGGGGGGGGAGGAAGGGAGAGAGAGAGAGAGAGAGAGAGAGAGAGAGAGAGAGAGAGAGAGAGAGAGAGAGAGAGAGAGAGAGAGATGTTAAGTACTGGGCAAACAGTGCTTGTCCCCAGGGCATTGACTTACCAGGAGGGGTGTGGATTTACTGGGAGATGTACTTCCTGATTGGAAGGGGGAGGTGTTGGAGTGAGTTTCCTCCCCCAGTAAGTTAAGGTTCAGCCTTGCTTGATTGAGTAATGCATCCCAGGTCATCACATTTGTTCTACTAAACCATGTTTGAAGACATACCAGATGACCTTCTCTGGCCATGGCTACTTACTTCCCCCTTGTTAAAATATGCCTACTTATGCCTATTAACCAGGGATGCAATACAGAGGTGCTAAGTTTTCCTGAATGTAAGAAGAGGGACAAAGTGTGATAACAATGAGGTGTGTGTGTGTGTGTGTGTGTGTGTGAAAATTCATGTTCATTTCTGAAGGTGGTGACTGTGGACCACAGGGATTAGGGGAACAGGAAAGTTTACTAGCTACTAACAGAAGTATCAGCTTGTTTGATACAAATCTGCTTTCTAATATCTTGTGATTATAGAAGACTATAATCAGTGTGGAGTTTGGAGGGGAAGATGGAAGATATGGAAGGTGTTTGCTATACAGTATGAAATCTCTCTCTAAACTCTGGAGAACAAGGCGTAAGCATGGTGGGAATTAGACATTTGTCAAGGTCAGACATCATGTTGGACTGTTATCATTGATCCCCTTATCTACTATAGTTTCTACTATATCTAGTTGTCTATCTATATAATTATCAAATATATCTATAGTTATCTATCTATCTATCTATCTATCTATCCATCTATCCATCTATCTATCTATAATTGTCTACTATAGCATTAGTACCCAGAGTCCAGATACAGTCTCATAGGTTTCAAGGTTCAGGATTGGGGATGTTCCCCTTGCATTAATTCCATCTATTAATCTATTATTTCACCCTGTATTAAGCTCTTCCTGCTCACAGTCTCTCTTGCACACCTCACTGGGGCTCCCAAGCAACTAGACTTTCTCATGATGCATCCAACACTATTTTGTCTCTTGATGCATATTCAGGAAGTAGTCCATATTTTTTAGACATAGCCAGGGGCACAGTAGATAGAATGCTGGGCCTTTTGTCAAGAAGGCCTGAGTTTAAATCTGGCTTCAGATATTTTCTAGTTGTGTGATCCTGGGCCAGTCACAATCTCTGTTTGCCTCAGTTTCCTCAACTATAATGTCAGGAAAATAATACCTACCTCCCAGGGTTTTTGTGAGGATCAAATGAAATATTCATTTTTTTTTAAAGTTTACATTTATTTATTTTTAATTTGTAGAATAAAACAAGCATTTATAAAAACATGTTGTACAATGTGTGCTAAATATAGTAGATGGCATGTTGTTCAGTTTGGTCTGACTCTTTGTGACCCCATTTGGGATTTTCTTTGCAAATATGCAGGAGTGGTTTGCCATTTCCTTTCTCCAGCTCATTTTACAGATGAGGAAATTGAGGCAAACAGGGTTAAGTGACATACCCAATGTTACACAGCTAGCAAGTGTCTGGATCTGGGCTTGAACTCAGGTCTTCTTGATTCCTAGCTGCCCAGGCACTATATGAATGCCTATTCTTTTCCTCCTCTCCTTCTTGCTATAGAACAGTAAATAGAGCATTGCTGTTCTCTCTATCAGCTCCTGAATTATTCCTTCAAAACAATCTTGCACTTGCTCCATCAGACTTTCTATTCTTCCTTGATACATATGGCCTAATTTCCCCAGCTGTGTGTCCTAGCTTACCAACGTCAGTGAAATAGGCCAACACTGATATGGGCCCTGGAAATTACTGACAGCTGGGAGCAGCAGATGCTGCTGTGGCTTCAGAGGAACTCAGATCTTCCCCATTTACCAGCATTTTCAGGGTCTAGTAATTCGTTGTGATTTTAAATTGCAAAATATTTGCCTTGGTAGAGAAAGTTTCATCTCTGACTGTTTTTTACACCTCTGAAATCATAGATCCCGACTAAAAAAAAAAATTGTCAGTGGATAGAGCACTGGCCCTGAAGTCAGGAAGACCTGAGTTCAAATCTGTCCTCAGACCAAACAGTTGACGTTACCTAGCTGTGTGACTCTGGGCAAGTCACTTAACCCTAATTGCCTAAAAAAAAATTTGACTTAGAATGCATTCTTGTGTACTAGACTGTCAACTCAATGAAGACATATATTATCAAGGCTTATCTGAAATTTGCATGTTACCAAGTACTGTGTGCATAGAAAGCATTTCATACATGTTTGATGAAATCATACAAATAGACTATCAGCTCCCTCACAGAGAGAACTCATCCTTCTTTGAGTAGTCCTTGTAAATTGCCTAGAGCAGAGTTTTGTAGTCAACCAGCATTTATTAAGGCTTACTATGTTTAGGCTGTGACCTAATAGAAAGAAAGGCAAAAATAGTCCCTGCCCTCAAGAAGCTCACATACTTACTGGGAAAATAAGTGATTATTAAGTCACTGAACTTCCCAGGGACCAAACACAGAAAGTGGACTATCTGGGCTCATGGGAGCTCTACAGTTGATTCCAGGAAGTTAGCCCTATGTGACACTGGTTCTTCTTAGAAATTCACATTTCAGAAATGTAAAAATTCTGAGATGTTCTTGGGATAACTGGATAGTGGTAATTATTGGTGAAAGACTCTGAATGAAGTATTATTCAGTATAGTAGGAGGAGTTACCGTAGTGCCACTGTGTCACAGGAACTGAGGCCCATGTCGGAGAATAAAAGGAAGTGACCTAGGAACTCATAACATTCACCAGAATCATTCTCACATTCTCAGCTTCTGCTACAGGCACAGAGACCATCCCCAGAAAGATGAAGCTTCTGCTGCTGAGTGTGGGCTTGGCCCTGGTCTGTGGCCTCCAACCTGAGTATAGCAGGTCAGAGGAAGACCTATCAGATGAAAAAGAACAAAAATGGGCACAGGTAGGTGGGTGGAATGGGTTGGGAGGGAAAGTGGGGTCAGGAATAACAGACAAAGAGAACAGAACCCGTCTGCCCAACAGGACTGGTGGAACCAGGACATAGGGCAAAACGGAAAAGATACGTGAATGTGTGTCTTCTAATAGCTAGCACTTTAGGGGCAGGTAGGTGGTACGGTGGATAGAGTGCCAGACTTGGAGTCAGGAAGGCTCATCTTCCTCAATTCAAATCTGGCCTCAGCTACTTACCAGGTGTATAACCCTGGGCAAGTCGCTTAACCTTGTTTGCCTCAGTTTTCTCATCTGTAAAATGAGCTAAAGCAGGAAATGGCAAACCACTCCAGCATCCTTGCCAAGAAAACCCCAAATGGGGTCACAAAGAGTCGAACATAACTGAAATAACTGAACAACAATAACAACAAATACAGAATTTTAAGGTTTACAAAGGACTTTATAGATATTATCTCATTTGATTCTCACAACAGCTCTGCAAGGTATTCTGACTCAAAGCTGTCCTTCCCAATAGTTGTGCTGTCTGCAAATCTGAGAATCTGAAATGATGCATGATTGTATATATATTTGCCTATGATTTGCATATCCTTTAAAAAAGAATAAGGAGAAATGTTTCAGCCTCTCCTTCCTGACCACACAATCCTATAGGAGAGCTTTCTGTACTTGTCAAATGAAGCGGATAGACCAGGCAACCTCTGAAGACCCTCCCGTTCTAAAATCTTGTCATTCAATTATACTGCTCTTTCTAAAGGCAAATCTAATCCCAGGGACCTTGATTGAAATCTATCCTCTCAGCTTCTTATTGTCATACAAAATGAGCTAATAGATATTAGAAAATCTCACAGAGGAGCCAGGCACTCCAAGGCATAGAGCCTGGAGGTTTCCTTCACTGAGCTGCCATTTAAAATGATTTTGTCAATAGGATGATAATGGTAACTTGGGGCTTTGTTTCCGCATTTGAGCTGATTTTGAATGCCACATGGATTCTGTCATGGTTTGGAGAATGATCTCAGACCCAGTCAGAGAAGAAGGGAAGAGGATTTCCCCAGGAGGCCTTACTGATTAGAGTTAGACAAAGGACCCAAGATTAGTCAAAGTCTTTTATAAGTGAATGTTTCTGTTAAGATCCCAATAAGGATACTCCCTACTCCTTATGAAAATTTTATGTTTCTTTCCCCCTCCAAATTTTTTTAAAAGAAAACTAATTGGTTAGTTGTATCTAAAGACAAGATGTATAATAACTGGCAGTGAAAAATCAGATATCTTGCCAAAGGTCACACAGCTAAGTAGTGTTAAAGCCAGGACTGGAAGTCAAATCTCCTAACAACTGATTCTAACAATCTTACTGCTTTTCCGTGGTGAAAATATACATGCTAAGGCAGAATTGAAGTAGGGAACCTCAATTTCTTCATCGATAAAATGAAGGGTTTGGGCTAAGGTCCCTTCCAAGTCTGAAATCCCATGATCTTGTGATCAGGGTGTTTTCTTTGCTTCCATTCTCACCCAGACCTTTTCCCACAGCTTTCTAGACACTGGCACACTGTTGCATTGGCCTCAAGTGACAGAGCTCTGATTGAGGAGGAAGGTCCCTTTAGGTATTTTATCCAAAATATCACCATAGAGCATGGCAACTTGAATGTATACTTTTTGACAAGGTAAGTACTGCTCATGTTAGCTGGGGGAAGTAACAGACTTCTGGGCCGCAGCACTGGACTCTCTCTCCCAACACAGGCTGAACTTGTTTGTCCTAGGTATCAGTCAGTGACAAAGCTTCTGTGTAGTCTTGTAAACAGGAAGGGCCAGCTTGGAATGGAAACAACATTAATGTAAGCTCTTTTCAAAAAGGAATTATTTCATTCTTATTTGTTTCCCAGTTCCTAGAACAGTGCTTGGTACATAATAGGTACTTAATAAATATTAAGGGATTGATTGATAAAAAGGCAAAATACAGACTTGAAGTGTGTGTGCAAGGGAAGGGCAATATTGATTGCAAATGAGGTCTTTTGAACTACCAGCTAGGGAAGCCAATTCTTTCTTTCTCTTCCACACTCCCTAAATCACTCCTCAGCCATCCACCATAATTTGGAGGCAGAATAGGTTCACAGATATAGCTCTGCTGAGAGAATAGAGAGAAGAGATAGAGGAGAGAAGCAAATGTCACTAGGACACAGTGATGTCATACCAGACAATATCAACAGACAATATCTTTCATCCATAAGGCCTGAAATGCCTGGCATGCTTTATCGACATCAAGAAGGAATGTGTGATTATCAGTCCTCCCAGACTCTTGATTCCAGGAAGAAAATCATAGAAGAGAAAACTCTGGCCTGAGTCCTATTCTTTATTCATTCACTGACTGTTAGTGCTTAAATGACTGTCTCTTTTCAAGTTTGTGTTTCAATTATATCTTTTAAATGGGGACTATGCTATTGTTATTACTCTACTCATCTTTTCTGGATATTGTGGAGATGAAATGAGATAGTAATGGCATCATTTCATATTTACACAGTGCTTTCAAGTTTACAGAAAATTCTTTGCATAATTACACAGGGGATTTTTATCCCCATTGTATAAGTGAAAACACTGAATCTCAGAGGAATAAAGTGACTTGCTCAAGGTCACTTTTTTGGGGCAAGGAGAGACAATTTTCTTTTTATCCCAGTGCTTTGCAAAGTGTCTGGAACATAGAGTGTGCTTAATAAATACTTGTTAATTGACTGACAGTGAGGTTCAAAGCCAGATCTGATTTCTGACAGCATTCACCTGGGTACTGTTCTTTCACAAATGAAATCAATATCCCAAAATCTGCTTATGCAGACTTTCTGCATGAATATTTTACTTAACTGGTACATGTATTCTATATACTGATCACAGATTTTCAAAAAATAAGAATTTAATAAAATATATTCTTACCAATTTTAAAAATAGTGAGCATAGTTTTGTTTTGAGCAATTAGAAGTCACTCAGGAGACTTCATTGTTTATAATTTTATATTAATGACTGAAGGCACATAAGTAGTTCAGTGGATACAGTGCGAGGCCTGGAGTTAGGAAGACCTGAGTTCAAATCTGGCCTCAGACATAAGCTGTGTGACCCTGGGCAAGTAACTTAACTCTGTTTGCCTCAGGTTCCTCATCTGTAAAATGAGGTGGAGAAGGCAATAAAAAACCACTGCAGCGTCTTTGTCAAGAAAACCTCAAAATGAGTCACAAAGAGTCAGATATGACTGAAATGACTAAACAATAACAACAAAAATGGGCTGAAAACAATTTTCATAAATTTCTGGATTAGATTTTGAAAACAAAGTTCACTATGCAAAAATGAAGTGTTATTATAATACTAATCTTTATTTCCAGGAAAAACAGCCAATGCATTCCATTATCTCTTACTGCTTTCAAGACTAAGGAAGCACGTCATTTTAAATTGAACTGTAAGTGTGAGCAAGAAAAGTTCCGTCTTATTCACTGAAATGAATTAATGGACCCATTGATTAACCAGAGTACACAAACTAATGCTATCCTTCATTCCCACTCCTGTCCCTCTGATAGCTGTAGAGGCCAGATAAGCCTTGATGGGATTAAAATGGGAACTAAATCATTGTGCAACCTTGCACAAGTCCTTTCCGAGCTTCAATTTCCCCATCTGTAAAGTGATATACCTGGACTACATGGCCTCCCAATGTCCCTTTCATCTCTACCATTCTGTGACTCAGGAAGCTCGGGTGAGGGGAGGTATACCTTGAAAAAGGTTTGTGAACAAAACCATAGTTTGTTTGGGATTTCCGAGATGGCTGAGAAATTCCTTTACCTAACATGCAACTATAGATAGATATCGAGATTTTTCCCTAGTTCTTGTAGCATCAGAAATTTCAATCCCTACCCTCTCCTGATTTCACAGATTATGGAACTAATGATGTCTACTATGAAAGCTCTAAGCCAAATGAATATGCCAAATTCACCTTGTATAACTACCATGATGGGAAAGTGAACATTGTGGCAAACCTCTTTGGTATGTATTCTATTACCCTTCCCTGACACTCATTCACCTCTTCATTCCTTGAAAAAGGATGTGCAATGAAAGGAAGCAAGTGACCAAAACTGAGTCCAGCAACAATGTGCAGCGTTTAAGACAAAGAAAGCATTTTCCAGAACAGCAAATTGATCACCCTGAGACCCCTGGAGGCAGCCAGTCTTAGAATTTAATAGAATATAAGCTTGTTGAGGGCAGGAGGTCTATTTTTTGTCATTATATTCAGACACTTAGCACAGAATTTGGCATATACTAAGTTATTAATAAATGCTTATTGAATGAATGAATAAATGACCAACCTTATTTAGCAAATCCTTACACTGCTTGGGAAAGAATACAGAGCAGAGAGACTATTTAATAAAGACCTTACTTTATAGCAGAAGAAAGATCTGTTGATTCATTCACTCATTAATGAATGAAATTAACACAAAAAGTGATAAGGTAAAATGGGAAAGTAAAAAATATGTCATGATAGTTCCTAGGAGGGAGAGATGATGTCTGGTGGGGGATTAGGTAGAGCTTCATAGAGATGATATTTGAGCTGAAGGGGAGAATTGGAGGGATAGGTCTGGAAGGTCATTCCAAGAGAAGGGCACCAGGTAAACAAATGATAGTGATCAGGTCAGGTGAGAGATACTGGGAAGAATCAAACTCTTATATTCATACTCACAAACTTGTTAACCTTAACTTTAATCCTGAATTTCAAAACAGCTTCAGGTTCCATCAGACAGGATTGGCCAAATATTCCTCATCTTCCTCCTCCCCACTCCTTACATCATCTGAAGGAATCACATTTTCTTCCTCTGTGAAGTTAGGGACTTGGACTTATGATTTTTTATGCCTTATGGTTCTCATGTTGTAATGACTGCAATGCAGTGATTATCTTCTAAGTGATGAGAGACAGAGAGAGTGAGGGAGGACCAGGGTGGGACCAGGATCTCTCTGACAGGGATTTTCATAGTTCCTCCAATCACTGCTATACTCGTGAAAGGTTTGGGTTGAATCCCAGATTCTTATATAGCAAGCATTCCTATAGCTACTATTCTATATATCTCTCTCTCTTTTTTTTCGTAGCCAAACTCTTGTGGAAAAAAAAATATTGTCTCCACTTCCACACTTCCCACTCAGTTCTCATCCTCTTTGCAGGATAATTTATCTATGTTCCATTCCTATGTGCAGACGTACCCCAGGGCTACCATCTCTCTCTCCTCTCTCTCTCTCTCTCTCTCTCTCTCTCTCTCTCTCTCTCTCTCTCATACACACCCAATCAGCAGTCACAGGTTCTCTGTAGATGACACCCAAATCAATATACTCAGTCATTATCTTTTGCCCTGGAGTTCCCAGGGATCTCTATAGATGTCCCATTGATATTTCAAACTCAGTAAGTATATTCATTATATTTTTCTCTAAAACCATTCTTCTTTCTAATTTCTCTTTTCTAGAAAATCACCACTCCTCCAATCACATAGTATCACATACAAGAAGTAATTCTTGACTCTTCCTTCTCTCTCACCCATATATTCCGTCAGCTGCCTCCAAAATATTCTACCCTCAAAGTCTCTCTCTCTTTCTCTGTCTTTCTGTCTCTGTCTCTCTCTTTCTCCCTCCCATTCTCTTCTGTCTATTCAAAGTATACTTACCCTAATTTTTGTCCTCTTTACCTATGACCTAGAGTATTGCAACGACCTACCAACCTAACTGTTCTCCCTGTAGTCTGCATCTCCCATCTCAAACCTATTTTCTACAGAGCCACCAAATGGATATTCCTAAAACACAGGCCTAACCAAGGTACTATGCCACTCAGAAAGCATCAGTGGTTTTCTGTTACCTTACCTCCAGCACAAAATAGAAACTCCTCTTTTTGGCATTTAAGGTGGTTGATTAGCTAGCTCCAAGCCTGTTTCTCTAGGCTGATTACATTTGGAATATTCTATGTTCCAGCCAAATTGGTCAACTTGCTGTTGCTCATAGAAGACATCTTTTGCCTCTGTGCTCCTGCACAGCTTGTTGCACTTGTCTGAGATGCTTTTCTTTCTCGTCTCTATTCCTTGGATCTCCAAGTTTCCCTCAAGGTTTGTGTCAAGTACCACATCTTTCAAAAAACCTTCCCCTGATTTTCCCAGTTGCTGGTGCACCACTCAACAAAATTACTATTGTATTTGTCGTATCATATCTATAGCTAGAAAACTATCTTGTATTTACTTATCTGTGAAGATATAATATCCTTTCTATACCCTTTAGACTGCAAACCTGTGGGCTTTGTCTTTCTCTCATCTTTCTATCCCCAGATTCTAGCACAACATCTGTATATAAAGTATAATGGGTGCTTTATAAATGCTTGTTGATTGATTTACCAAGTGATTAGGGGATCCTCTCTCCTTCTTTCTTCAAGGTATGAAATGGCATACCTCATACCAGGCAGCATGACAGCTCCAATCCCCAAATTTGTATAATGGGCATAAACTCCTTCTCCATGTCTCTCTACTTCTCTCATGCAGCTATTTCTTTCCTTGGTATCTGTAAATGATCAGTGAGAGAGACTCACTAACCATTCTCACTCTCACCCTGACTGCAGGCCGGACTCCATATCTGAGCAATGAAATCAAGAAAAAATTTGAGGAAGATTTTATAAGCAGAGGATTTAGGAAGGAAAACATTTTAGACATATCTGATGTTGGTAAGTTCTGTTTATTCCTGTCTCCTTGTTCTCAATTTCTCTTGATGACATTAAGAAAGATTCTGTGGGATGGAAACTCTCTCAGATTTGTTTCCTTATCATTATCCAAGAAAGTTCTATTCCTCTTCCTTCCCTTTGGCAAACAAAAGCTAAGTAGGTCTTGGGTATAAATACTATTGGCATCTTGCGTTTTCTCCACAGATCATTGCTAGAAGCTTGACCAATAAGGAAGCTGACTCTGTCTGTCAGGTCTGTGATATTTAACTTTGTTGTTATTCCCTGGGAATCATGCTTCTTTAGAAAACCAAAACAGGGTACCTCAGGAGACAGCCACAAAAAGGGGGACAAATATAGATCAGGTTGGTGAGACCCTGTTTTTTTTGTGAGTCCCCAATGTCTTGGCCAGCCTGACATATTCCTTTAACACAAGTGCTTAAAATGGAGAAGTGAAGGTGATTAACATTCTCTTTCTGATTATGGTTACTTTAATTACTCTATATTTATATACATTATTCAATATTCCTTTTCTCTTCCTCTCCTTTCCTTGTTCTATCCTTGTCTTCTCTACCTTCTCCTTCCCTTGAAACTGATGTGAGTTTAAGGAGAGTGTGGAAGGGGATTAGTGCTGAAGATTGATGAGGATTGGAATAAGCTCAAGGCTGGGGATTGGGAAATGCAAGTCTGGAGGGAGATCAGGGCTAGGAATTGGGGTGAGAGTGGAAGTGGCATTCACACCGTGTGATTGGGAAATATTCTTCATTTTAGCAATCCATTTAATTATATTTCACCTCTGATTCTCCTAAAAAATATCTGTCCCTGTTTCCCAGAGGGGGTTACAGGAACAAGAAATTGTATTTTCCTGGTTTTTTCTTTTCTGGCCTCATCTTCACAATTCCACTTCCATGGACCATCCATTTATCCCAGATAGTATTTGCTCAATCTGCCACAGTTTATCTCTTGCCTTCTCATGGACCAAATTTGCCTCCACTATGTATATTTCTCTCTCAGGTTCCAAGCTTCTCTCCTTCCATTCTTGATAACTATCATCTTATATCTCTTCCTCTTTTGTAGCTAAACTAAAACAAAGCCTTCTATGATATGTTCCTCCACATTCTCTCCTTTCATTCTCTTCTTAATTCTTTACAATATGGCTTTTGCCCTTTTTATTCTCCAGAAACTACTCTCTCCAAAGTTACTATTGATGTCTTAGTTACCAAATCCAATTACCTTTTTCTTAACCTTCGTTCTCCTTGACCTCTTTGCAGCCTTTGAAACTGTTGATCACTCTATCTTCCTTGATACTCTCTCCTTTCTAGGTTTTTAGAATATGACTCTCTCCTGGTTCTCCTCTTATCTATGTGACTGCTCCTTCTCTGTCTCTTTTGCTGGATGCCCCTTTAGATCATGTCCTGTAACCATAGGTATTCCTTAGGGTTCTATCCTGGATCTTCTATTCTCCTTCTATACTACTTCACTTTCTGATCTCATCAGTTCCCATATATTTAATTACTGTCTCTATGCTAATGATTCTCAGATCCACCTATCCTGCCCTCTCAAGGTTTCTGCTGACCTCCAACCTTATATCTCCAACTGCCTTTCAGACATGTTGAACTTGATGTCCAGTAGGCATCTTAAATGCAATATGTCCCAAACTGAACTAATTATCTTTTCACCTAAACTACCCCACCTCCTACTTTCCTTATTACTGTAGAGGGCAACACCACCACCACCCCCGAAGTCCATCAGGATCACAACGTAGGAGTTGTCTGGATCCCTCATGATCTCTCACTCCTCATGTCCAATCTGTTGCCAAAGCTTGCCAATTTTATCTTGGCAATATCTCTTGAATAGGACCCCTTTTCTCCTCTGACACTGCCACCACTCTAGTGCAGGCTCTTATCACCTTAAACCTTTATTATTGAAATGACCTGTTGGTGAGTCTGCCTACCTCAAGTCTCTCTAAACTCAGCCACTAACGTGATTTTTGTGAAGCACAGTTTTGACCATATTACTTCTCCTCCCCTAATGAAATCCAGTGGTTACCTATTACCTCTAGAATCAAACACAAAACATTCTGTTTGGCATTCAAAGCCCCCTTCTACCTTTCCAGTCTTCCCAAACCTTACTTCCCAACAGGTACTCTTCAGTCCCATGACACTATCCTTCTGGCTGTTCCACAAACAAGACACTACATCTCTTGGCTCTGAACATTTTTTTTTCTGGCTGTCCTCTATGCCTGGAATGCTCTTTCTCCTCCACTACAACTACTGACTTCCCTGACTTTTTTTAAAAATCCCAACTAAATTTGTAGCTTCTACAGGAAGGCTTCTGCAACCCGTCTTAATTCTAGTGCCTTACCTCTGTTAATTATTTCCTATTTATCTTGTATATAACTTGTTTTGTATATTGCCCCCCACTCCATTAGACTGTAAGCTTCTTGAGGGGAGGGATTGTCTTTTTTTGTATTCCTAGCACTTAACACAGTACCTACCTGACACATAGTAGGAACCTAACAAATGTTTATTAAGTGGAATTGTTTCCCACCAATTCAATCTGTGACTATATTTTATAATCAGATTCCTATCTTTGTTCTTTTAGGGATTCCCAGGAGACTGTAACCTTTTCTTGCTGGACTCCCCACCTGCTTTCTCCAAAGAATTGTCAGCATGATAATCACAAGTTCTGGAGGCCTCTTTGTCTCTTCTCCAAGTTTCAAGGGAATTGTATCCTTCTTTGAGCTCTGACTCTTTATAGGCAGTACTCTTGGGTGACACTATTCCTGCAAAGTCCAATAAATGATTTACTCTGTGCATCAGTTGTCCTAAGTCTGTTTGAGAAGCATGGGGGCTAGGGTAGAGGATAAGGAATGATATCTGAGCAACAGTAGCAGGACTCTTCAGGTCTATGAGAGTTTATCCAAACACTTCAATTGACTTTTTGCTTTTAAACTGATTAATTTGTCTAAAAGATAAAGACATATATAGAAGCTGGAATTCAGTCCCTCTGCTGCATTAATTGTAATAAGTTAGGCTTTGAGCAAGGGAAAGAAAAAGGTTGATATCCTATGAAGTTTCTAAGTATTTTAGGGAGTCATCTGTCTGCATTTGCCTCTTCCAGTACCACTAACTCTAGTTGCTGTGACCTCTCCAACTCTCTCTGTGTCTCTCTTCAGAGAGATTTTTCAAACTACCATAGTAGTTTGCCCTCCATTTCTGATCCTATTATGAGTCTCCTCTTCTCATGCTTGGAAAAACTACCACTCCTAGAAACTGTAGTGACTGAGACCTCCTCAGAGGTAGTCTTGTTGGAAGGACTATTGCACTCAATAAAAGATTTAGAAATAAACTTAAAATATGCACCAAAGAGGAAATCTGGAAAATTTAAGAAGCAATAGATAAATTGGAAAACAATTACATATCATAAAATTAAAAGCTGCTTCTTTGAAAAAAAAAACTAACAAAACTGATATATCTTTAGCCAATTGGATTTTTAAAAAAAGAGGGAACAAAATCAAGGGAACAAAATTTAAAATGAATGTGGAGAAGTCACAAGAAAGATAAACTTTTGAAAATAGCTAACAGGGTCTACAATACACAATTATATACCAGCAAAAATGAGAACTTAAAGAAAAAAGAGTAATGCCTACAAAAATATAAAAATACCAAAAATAGTAGTGCACCAAATAGAGAACTTAAAAGATTCAGTTTCAGAAAGGGAAATTAAATTGCTATAGAGGAGAAAGCAAAAACAATAAACTCATTCATGTGGATTTATAGGAAAATGCGGTAAGACTTTCTTTTAAACATTTGTTTTTAAAACGTTAAGTTCCAAATTCTGTCCCTTTCTCCCTCCCCACCCACCCTCATTGAGAAGACAAGCAATTCCATATAGGTTATATATGTGTAGTCATGCAAAACATATCCATAATAGTCATGTTGTGAAGCAAAACAGACAAAAAAACTCAAGAAAAATAAAGTGAAAAAAACAAACAAACCCAAAGTTGCTTCAATCTATGTTCAGACACCATCAGTTCTTTCTCAGCAGGTGGATAGCATTTTTCATTCTAAGTCCTTCAGAGTTGTCATGGATCATTGCATTGCTGAGAATAGCTAAGTCATTGACAGCTGATCATCTTGCAATATTGCTGTTACTTTGTACTCAGTACATTTCACTTTGCATCAACCCATGTAAGTCTTTTTAGGTTTTTCTGAGAGCATCCTGTTCATCATTTCTCATAGTACAATAGTATTCCATCATAATTACATACCACAACTTATTCAGCCATTCCCCAATTGATGTGTAGCCCCCTCAATTTCTAATTCTTTACCTCCAGAAAAGACCTGTTGTAAATAGTTTTGTACATATAGGTCCTTTTCCTTTTTTTAAATCTCTTTTGGGATACAGACCTAGTAGTGGCATTGCTATATCAAAGGACATTCATGTTTTTGTAGGCCTTTGTGCATAGTTCCAAATTGCTCTATAGAATGGTTTAATCAACTCACAATTCCATCAACAGTACATAAATGTCTCATTTTTACCACATGCCTCCAACATCTGTCATTTACTTTTTCTGACCTATTGTTTTATCTAATATGTATGAGGTAATACCTCAGAACTGTTTGTTTGTTTTTTTTTCTTTTTTTTTGTGAGGCAATAGGGGTTAAGTGACTTGCCCACGGTCACACAGCTAGTAAGCGTCATGGTCGGATTTGAATTTGAGGCCTCCTGACTTCAAGGCCAGAGATCTATGTTACTGTGCCATCTAGTTGCCCCATCAGAATTGTTTTAACTTGCATTATTTCAATCAATAGTTAGAATATTTTTCATATGGCTATAGATAGCTTTAATTATTTCATCAGGAAGCTAATTATATCTTTTGATCATTTATCAGTTGAGGAATGGCTCTTATTTCTATAAATTTGACACAGTTTTCTATGTGTTAGAGAAATGAAGTCTTTATCAGAGAAACTTGCTTCAATTTTTTTTCACAGTTAGTATTGCTATTTGTATTTCTCTCCAGCCTATTCCCCCTACCCCTGTTTATTCTATTCTCACTCTCCTTTCAAAAGTATTTTGCTTCTGATTACTCTTTCTCCCAATCTGCCCTCCCTTCTATCACCTTCCGCCCCCCCCCTTCTTATCCGTTTCTGGGTCTATTTTCCTGTAGGGCATGATAGATTTCCATTGCCTGTATATCGTATTTCCCAGTTATATGCAAAATAATTTTTAACATTCATTTTTAAAACTTTTAGTTTCAAATTCTCTTCCTTCCTCCCTCCCCACCCACCTTCATTGAGAAGACAAGCATTTAGATATAGGTTATACATGTGTAGTCATGCAAAACACTTCCATAATAGTCATGTTGTGAAAAACTAACTATATTTCCCTCCATCCTATCCCGCTGCCCATTTTCTCTCCTTTCACCCTGTCCCTCCTCAAAAGTGTTTGCTTCTGATTACCCCCTCCCCCAATCCACCCCTTCTTCTATCACCCCCCACCCCAGCCATCTCCTTTCTTTCTACTTTCACGTAGTGTAAGATAGATTTCTACACCCAATTGAGTGTGTATGTTATTCCCTCTTTAAGCCAATTCCAATGAGAATAAGGTTAACTCATTCCCTCTTGCTTCCTCCCCATTTCCTTTCCACTGTAAAAGCTGTTTCTTGACTCTTATGTGAGATAATTTATCTCTCCCTTTCTCCTTCTCCCAGTACATTACTCTCTTACCCCTTAATTTCTATTTTTAAGATATCATCCCTTTATATTCAACTCACTCTGTGCCTTCTGGCTATATATAGTCCCTCCAACTACTCTAATAATGAGAAAGGTCTCATGAGTTTCAAATATAATTTTCCCATGTAGGATGTAAACAATTCAACTTTAATAAGTCCCTTATGATTTCTTTTTCCTATTTACCTTTTCATGCTTCTCTTGAGTTTAGTATTTGAAAGCCAATTTTTCTATTTAGCTCTGTTTTTTTCTCAAGAATGCTTTACATTCCTCTATGTTATTTAATATCCTTTTTTTTGCCTCATTGATTGTGCTCAGTTTTGCTGAGTAGTTGATTCTTGCTTTTAATCCTAGTTCCTTTGACCTCCAGAATATCATACTCCAAGACCTCTGATCCCTTAATGTAGAAGCTTCTAAATCTTGTGGTTCCACAATACTTGAATTGTTTCTTTCCAGCTGCTTGTAATATTTTCTCCTTGATATGAAAACTCTGGAATTTGGTTATAATATTCTTGGGAGCTTTCCTTTTGGGATCTCTTTCAAGGAGTAATTGGTGGATTCTTTCAATTTCTATTTTGCCCTCTAGTTCTAGAATATCAGGGCAGTTTTCCTTGATAATTTCTTGAAAGATGATGTCTAGGCTCTTTTTTTGATCATGGCTTTCAGATGGTCCAATAATTTTTAAATTATCTCTCCTAGATCTATTTTCCAGGTCAGTTGTTTTTCCAATGAGATATTTCACATTATCTTCTATCTTTTTATTCTTTTGGCTTTGTTTTATAATTTCTTGATTTCTCATAGAGTCATTAGCTTCCATTTGCTCCATTCTGATTTTTGAGAAATTATTTTCTTCAGTAAATTTTTGGACCTCCTTTTCCATTTGGCTAATTGCTGCTTTTTAAGGCATTCTTCTTCTCATTGGCTTTTTGGACCTCTTTTGCCATTTGGCCTAGTCTATTTTTAAGGTGTTATTTTCTTCAATATTTTTTGGGTCTCCTTTAACAAGCTGTTGACTCATTATTTATGAGTTTCTTTCATCACTCTCATTTCTCTTCCCAATTTTTCCTCTCCTTCTCTTACTTGCATTTCAAAACCCTTTTTCAGCTCTTTCATTTCCTGACACCAATTCATATTTTTCTCGGAGGCTTTGAATGCAGGAGCTTTGAATTTGTTGTCTTCATCTGGTTGTATGTTTTGATCTTCTTTGTCACAAAAGTAAGATTCTATAGTCTGATTTTTTTCTGCAGTTTGTTCATGTTCACAGGTAGTTACTTGACTTTTTAACTCTTTGTTAAGGTAGGGTTCTGCTTCCAGTATTGAGGTTGTACTGTCCCAAGCTTCAGGGTTTTGTGCAGTTGTTTTTAGAGATATTTCTAGGGACCTGTAAATTTTCAGTTCTTCCAAGGTGGTATGATCTAAGGAAAGATATTTACTCCTCTCCTGGCCTGTGCTCTGGTCTGTGATTGACTACAAGCACTCTTTTCTGCCCTAGAACTGTGAGGAGGGCTCCCTCTACAATTCTGCCACAAGCTCTGCTATGCTGGTGCTCCTCCTTGCCCCAGAACTGCCACCCAGTACTGCAACTCAAATCTAAGTATGAGCAAAGCAATAGAATCCTGCAAAATAGAAATGTAAAGAATCCACTCATGACCTCCTGAAAGAGATCCCCAAATGAAAACTCTTAGCAATATTATAACCAAATTCCTGAGCTCCTGCTTCAAAGAGAAAATACTTTAAACCACCAGAAAGAAATCATTTAATGCTGTGGAACCACAGTCAGAATCACACAAGATTTAGCAGGTACCACATTAAAGAAGCAGAGATTGGTGCATGATATTCCAGAAGGCAAAAGAGCAAGGATAGTCACCAAGAATAACATACTCAGCAAAACTGAATATAATTCTTCAAGGGAAAAATATGGATATTTAATGAAATAGGGAACTTTCAAGCAGTCTCGATGAAAACGCCAGAGCTGAGTAGAAAATTTGACTTTGAAATATAAGACTCAAGAGAAACATAAAGATGTAAACATGAAAAAGAAATCATAAGCAACTCAATAAGGTCAAACTTTTTACCTTTCTAT